ACTGCAAAAAACCTACAGAATATGGTAATTAATATGTTTAATGACATAAGGCTTTTCATGATAGTGAGACAAGTCTGCTCCTGGAAGCACCAATTTACTTCAGAGAAGATAATGGGCACTGAAGAGACTGCATATGGAGTTTTCTTTTTTTATGGCAAAAACTAGCCTTTGGTTAAAAAACTGCCTTGACTTAATTACTGACAGTATACTGTCCAAACTGAACCAGAAGGACACAAAAGAAAGCAACTGCTAGACTTTGCCAAGAAAAAATAGGACAGTCTTTCAAAATTGCCTGCTTCTCAAAAAAGTCTATCAGATATATTAGGATGGTAGGCCAAAGACAGATGCCACAATATTACAGAAGAACTTTAGGTGACTGTCCAGGCAGCCAGATGTTAGATAACCCTGCTGTTAGATAACATTTCACTTTTCTGAGGACTTTGTTGGATTTTGAAGACTTAATTATGATAAAATATAAATTAAATATAAAACTTCAGACTGACAAAGATAAAACAGATAATAGGCTATTTTCCCTAATTTTGGCAAGTACAAATGGACTAGATATTATAATTGTAATTTTTGCTTGAGAACTGATTTTGTCATATATAATCTTTCTATGTTAAAGTTAAAACCTTCTTTCATTGGACAATAGGGCGGAAATGTAGACTATTCCTTTACACTGTGTGAATATATGTCACTGTGATTGGTTTAATAAAGAATTTGTCTGGTCAATAGCTGAACAGAATAAGGTTAGCTGGGAAAGCCAAATTGAGAATGCTTGGAGAGTCATAAGCAGATGCAGAGAGAAGTAAGATAGGCATGCTGTACTGAGAAAAGATACCAAGCCACATGGTAAAGCATAGATTAAAAATATACGTTGACATAACTATAAGAGTGAGCTAGGAACAAATCTGAGCTATTGACTAAACATTTGTAGTAATAATAAAAAAGACCACCTAAAGCCGGGCGGTGGTGGCGCACGCCTTTAATCCCAGCACTCGGGAGGCAGAGGCAGGCGGATCTCTGTGAGTTCGAGACCAGCCTGGTCTACAGAGCTAGTTCCAGGATAGGCTCCAAAAACCACAGAGAAACCCTGTTTCGAAAAACCAAAAAAAAAAAAAAACCCTAAAAATAAACATTTACATTATGATTCATAACAGTAGCAAAAATACAGTTAAGACATAGCAACAAAAATAATTTTATGGTTGGGGGTCACCACAACATGAGGAACTGTATTAAGGTGTCACAGCATTAGGAAAGTTGAGAACTATTGATTTAAATAGCAACTTATTAAGTTGCCTAGAGTGGTCTCGGGGTCATTCTGTAGCCTAGGCAGGTCTTGTTTTTCAGATTTCCTGCCTTAGCCCCCTGAAAAAGTGGGAATTTAGGCCATGCAACCAGTTTGACTCTCCTTTTATGCTTCCTGTATTTTAATTTCTAATAATTTCCATTGTAATGTGTTTGAGATAAAGCAGAATTGTATGCCAATTATGGATATATGGAAGAATATCTTCCATTGGTGCATGAACATGCCCTGTTTTCCTGTCAGATGTACTTTTCCTTCTTCCATAAACTTTTATATCCTTGTACATGTACATGTATCTTCTACTTGTCTACAGGCATAATACTTCTGTTTAAGGCCTAAGAGGTCAAAGTTCTGAGGCTAGATATAATTTAGATTTGAAGATGACCTGAAAGGGTTAAACAAGAAACAGGAGATGGTCCTTGGAACACACTGAAAACTAGTTGGACATTGTGTGTTGGCTCAGTGTCCTGTATCAGGAAACAGACAACTTGTTTATTTTTTTTAAAGATAAGTATTTTTATATTAATGGAATAGACAGTTTGTTGATGTATTTAACTCAAAGGAAGGGCCTAGGTATAATGTTTAATCTATGAAAATGTACATCTATTATGAGATAAAATGCATAAGTTGACCCAAAACTTTATAAGTTTCAGTTTTTCTACTTGACATTTAAGCATCTTTCTATACATTGTTTATTTCACTTCCATTGTGTAATTGTCTTTAAGTACCATTTATATGTAAAGAGAGACTCCCCCCCGCCAAAAACATTAAATCTAGACATGCTATCCTGGATTGCAACGGCATAATTTAATACATTATCATTATGTTTAAACACATACATATATACTTGGAAATCTACTTATTTTGAGTATAACTTTGTATAATATTCTGATACATAAAAATATAGGTTTTGGAACCATTATATGCATTTGTCTATGCAGTAGCAAACATACATTATGACAAACTTATAATAAATTATATATGATACAAGAGTAAATTTTGTAGAAGGATAAGAAGGAAAATGAATTATGTTTAAAATATAATGCTAATTCATTATTTACAAATAAAAATTTCTATACACAGTATAATAAATTCACTCATTTCAAGCTTACATTCATATGATATTCACATAAAATTCATTACTTATTTGTTGCAATGAAATTGGATTTGGCACTGAGCATTTGAACAGCTTGTTGACATATCCCTCCAGCTACAAGGCTCTGAACATGTGGAGGAATGCAATTTACCTAAGATTTGTGTTACAATCACTGGTAAAGTATGGGAGTGAAACTCCTCTCTTGTTCTGATATTATTCAAGGGTATTCCCTCCCAAGTGACAGGGAAACACCTGGGTTATTTTGATTTCACTGAAGATGGACATGAAAATGAGGTACACTGGAATAACATACAGATGTCTCCATGCCAAAACAGAGCAGACCTTCTGCACCTTGTAGCTTCTTCCCTTGCTTGGAAATCGGAGAGAATTCATGCCAGAATACATGACTAATGTCTTAGAATTCTTCACTCATTCTTTTGGTATTTTAATGTGTTAAATATCATCTTGTTTATCTTCAGCAAATTTTATGGGTATGCAAGTTTTGATAACTGTTTTGACAGTATATATTACAGCTTCAAAACCAAAACAAAAATCCACCATTTATTAGTTTATGCTATGTCAGTTTAATATTTTGGATGAGGCAAATGTTTCTCTCCTAATTACCGTTAATATTATTTTCTTCTAATTAAATAAGGTTATTTGGACAATCGTTGACTAAGAATACTACAGAATGTAATGTCTGTGAAAAGAGCATGCTTTGCTGTGGGCTCTGCAGTATGAGTGAGGCTTCCTGATGTGCGCAATGGAAGCACATAGCCCTCCCATCTGAAGGGAGATCACGTGATGCTGAGATGCTCAAAATTCACTCCTGTCTGTGTTGGGAGACCTGGTGGGTCTGAAATACCATGTTCCCCAAAATGCACCCCTGTGGTTAACATTTTTTCATGTCAAGTTTTCTCTTTCTTTGTCTGTGCTTTCCTTGACTCTTTCCTTCCCCCACATTTGAGAATCTCAGATTCCATACTGGCAAGCACTCCACTGTTACTGAATTGATTCTGAAAAAACCTGGTAGATGAAGGAATCATCTGTTCCTTAAGTACATACATGATTCAATAAAGAGGCTCAAGTTTTGAAACAACAAGGAGACATAGGACATTACAATATGCAAAATCATTTCACTTTACATTCTGAAAATTACCCTGTGATTTTAAGCCACATTTTTAAACAAAGGATGTCCACCTGTTGGTACTTTGAATTGCAAACTGTAGAAAAGAATTCTAGGGCTCAGAGCACATGGTTTGTACTTGATGTCAAATATTACAGACAGGAGCAAAATTACATTTAATCATTGACCTCTTGAAAGTCATGTGCATACCAGATATTAAAAATGATGGCTTTTTTCTCTTCAGCACTTGTTTTACCTTTTCATTTTCTATTACATTTTGAAATTCAATATATACACTTGTGGGGATCTATCTGGTCCCTAAAAGTGGCTTATGTGGAACAGGGCCCAGAACTGAAGCTTAATTTTAATATATTCTATTAATGAATTTCTACAAATGAGTGTGGTTTGTTTTTCAGTCCCTTGGTGAGTTGTTTTGGAACTGCTGGTAATAAACACACAGTGAACACATGCTATTGCAGCAATCACCACAGGTGACTAGACAATGTAACAGGGGTTAGACAATGGCCTTTCTTAATATATGGCTCAACTTTGCCTCCAATACTGACTTAGAAAATAAGCCAAGGCCTTATATTTGTAAGGGGTGACACCACTTCATATACCAGAGCTAGAAATATCCTTTTTTTCCCTCTCCCCATATTCTGAATCTTCTTATAAACTTATTGCTGTAATGCTCTCCACTAACCATTCATGCTTTGCTTCGGATACTTTCTTTGAGCATATAGCAATTGCTGACACCCTCAAAGAATTCAGTGCTTTCTTTCCATCCCAATGTGGGTCCTATTTTCCATCAGTTACACATGAAAATGTCACTATTACATAAATTTTTGTTTGTGTTGTTTGTGCTTAGAATAATATATGGTATCACTGAAGAAAAAAAAACCCAACAGATTGTGGGGCTGATGAGCCCTTATCTAACATGTGCAAGACCGTGTGATAGATCTCCAGCACCACCAAATAAATAAATAAATAAATAAATAAATAAATAAATAAAATCTGAAGCGAGAAAGAGAAAAGAGAGAGGGAGAGGTAGGGAAGAGTGGGGGAAAGAAGGGAAAGAAAAAATGGAGGAAGAGCAGAGAGAGGGAGAGAGGGAGGAAGGGATAGAGAGGGAGAGCATGTTCATGCAGAAGAACAGGAACGGCTAAGAGAATGCACATTGAAAACTAAGCAAATGCCACATTCAGATCATGGAAAAGCAGGCTAGTCTATACATGGAGAGAGGTGAACTGGTCAACTCACTGAATAATTTACAGTAGTGACTGAGAATAAACACAGTATACGTGTTGTAGAAATTAACCTAATGTCCAGTGCATTAGCAAGCAAAGATGATGAGAACCATTCAAACTGCTTTCCATGGGCTCGCTAATATATATTTCCTCTTTCCGTAATAGAGATACGTAATATCTGGCCATTTCTTTGGCTAGGACTTTATTCATTTTTATATTCCCTAACAAAATTATTCAAACGTAAAAGTGCTATGATAAGAAATAAAGCCATTGTTTTCACCCTTGATTCCTTCTCTCTGTGCAATTGTTATTTTTTTCTGAACTCGTCCATGATAACTTTTTATTTCTGCAAAGCTTCCACCCCCAAATGTTTATATTTTAATATTTGTTAGATGTATTCCAAACCTTCTTTCCAAGACCATCCTACAGCAATGCTCTGTTCTTTATATGTTAGATGGGGTCATTGCACGTTATCTTCAGTCCCAGATCCCTCTGGGCTGGAATCAACATCAAGAAGGGCCTCTTTGTTGGTGAAAGTTGAGCTGAGAGTTAGACTCTGTCGAGGCTTCACAGGCGCGAGTTCATTTAATTTGATGTTTTCATTTCTGACTAGAATAGTCTTGTCCATGTTCTCCTCACTGTGCCTCGAAACGACGGCATCAAATACATCTAGTTTCGGAGGCAGGGTTCCACTTTCAAATAGATATTTGGCTAGATAAGAAACACAAATGTTGGTCAGGAATGAGGTAACCATGGAGAGAGTCTTAAAGGGGAATCTCTGGTTGTATATACCACTCTTGTCCATGTAATAACCAGGGTAGAAGATTAGGGGCTGCAAGTATAGATATGGCTCTCCTCCAGTAATTCTCAGGAAAAGTCCAAAGATGTAACCTGCAACAGCCCCATAAGTGTTGGTTCCTTTGATGAAGAGTACACAGAGCAGCTGTGGGAAGATGATGATGTAGACTAGGTCAGAACTCAGGTACCAGAGCCCATACACAGTCTTTGTCAGCAAGGCCATGGCTGTCGCAGATGCTCCAAACACAAACACAGTGATCCTCATGACCCACACGATTTCTTTGTCTGATGCCTGGGAGGAATCAATGCAGAGTCAACTTTACAATGTGCTGGCTCTTTAAGAGACGAACAGGATAAATGTCTATGGTTTAACACTGATCTTATACAGTCCCCCATGTCCAAAGCTGGTGTAACCCATGGCAATTGGGTACAAGGGTTTCTTGTACCATATGAATGAAGTGACATCATGGAACCTTTCTCTGAATGTACCGGGGTAAGCTGAGAGGAGCTAGGATCAGATGTCACACATCAAATAAGGCAAGGTAAGATCTCACCCACACGAGGCACTAACAGTACAGACACCCTTAAGGCTTTTATCTGTAAGAGCCCTACCATTTGTAAAGGTAACTGCTTTTTTGGTGCCTTAAATCAGGTGTTTCTAGGGGGATTTCCTTGAAAAACAAACCTAATGGGCCATTTTTAAAAATTGCCTTTGTAGGTACACGTGTGTGTGTGTGCAAACGCACATGCTACTGTGCACGTGAGGAGGTCAGAGGGCAATCTGCAAGAGTCAGTTCTGACAATGCGGATTCCACGGATGGAACTTGGGTCACCAAGCTTGGTGGCACGTTCATTTTCTCTACTGAGCCATCTCGTTGGTTCCAGTGAACTTATTTTGCTAACTATGGCCTAGGAAATGGGTGAGAATCCAAATTTTACATGATAAAGGAAAAGCTCTTGAGAGGGAGGAGTTCATTGTCCTCTAAGGACCACTGAAGCAAACTGGCCTAGATCCATTTGGCTCTGTAAGGAAAATCAAATTGAAAGGCTACTATATGTCAAGGGTATCCTTTGGAAGTCAAAGACCACAGCAATTGTTAGAAGTGTGAAGTAGCTCACCTTGACTTATGGCTACCAGAACTTTCTCACATCCTAGCGAATTTAACCAGATTAAATGCTTCCTAAAACCCTTGAAGATGCATTTGCTTTTGACAAAAAGACAAGAAATTTAACCTAGTAATATGATAGTCTCTTTGGAAATAGTTACACTAATATATTCCCTTTCATGTGAAAATGAGCAATAATATGCATTGCTGTGATACACTACATTTAAGTATGTGTGTTTAGCCAATATAAAAGCTGGATTGCAATACAGACTCAATATGTATACACAGATTGATTATCCTTTATCCAAAATGCTTGAGAGCAGAAGTGTTTCATACCAAGAGGAGTTTATTTTTGTATTTTGGAATATTTGCATGTTCATAACAAGATACTTAGGAATGAAACTCAAGTTTAAAAACAGAAGCTAATTTACATTTCATATGTACCCTGTAGGTATGGCAGGAAGGCGATTTGTAAGACTGTGTTTAGTAATTTTGTGACTGGAACAAGGATTCCTAGTATGGGGCCTCTCACCTGTGACATACTGCTGGTTTTTTAAAACTTTCCAAACTTACCATAAGCATTTCTGCCTGCCTGCCATACTATATACAAAATCACACATAATATCCAAGAACACAGTGAATGCCGTGGCAATGATGAAAAAAGTAATGACAGATAAGACTAGTTAGAAGGCTGGACTTACATTTTGCCTGAAGGAAAGCTGGTAGATATTCCGAGCAAACATGGAACTTGCTGACAGAATGGAAGAGTCAGCTGAGGACATGACAGCGGCTGAAACAGCACCAAGCCCAAAGAAGGAAATGTACGCAGGGCAGAGGTACTGTAGTACGATCGGGAGGATCATGTCTCCTTCCTCCTTGGCCTTGGGATCTGGAAACCCATAGGCGGTCTGGTTCCAGTCTGTGGAGCAGAAACAACGGTCACCACTGAGAGTCCCTGTGTGGTCTTCTGAGGAGGGAAGTCCCTATGCTGGTCCTGTAAAATGGCTGACCTGCCTGGTTCCTGTGAGTGCTGATAGCGTTGAGGCTGAGTCACACCTGCTGGGCCCTTTGTGTGCAATAGTGCATAATCAGAATCTCAGACAACTAACTTTCCCTAAACCACACATTTCCTTCAGACCATTTGGAGTTGAGTGGAAGCCTAAAGTTCATTCTGTAAGGCCCAGAGACCTGTGCACACAAAGAGATCACAGCTGATTTTTTTTTTCATCACTCCCTCTTTTCCTGGAGATTGTGGAACAGCCTTGGAGCTGCCTTTTTGTCAGTTTTCTCCTCAGCAATTCCATCTTACATGGGGATTTCTTTAGGAGAAAGAGGGGGCACATTATGCTAAGGACAGCCCCTTTTCATTCATGGAGTTTGGAATTTTTGGAGGTCTTTGAACTTGGTCTAATAGATGACTTGAAACATAAGTTTATCTTTGAATATATAGCTCCCACTTTGTTATTTATTTGTGTGTATGAGTGTGTGTGTGTGTGTGTGTGTGTGTGTGTGTACATGTGTGTCCAAGCATCTGTAGCACTCAAGTGCTACAGCATACGAATATGGAAGTCAAAAGACAATTTGTGGATGTTAATTTGCTCTTTCCACTATGGGTTCCAAAGATGGAACTTGGGTTATCAAGTTCAGTGGCAAGTAATTTTTACCCTTGGGCCATCTCACTTTCCTTGTGTTATCTGTTTGGTCACAGCCTGTGTTGAAGGGGACAAGGGGCCTGGCTATATACATTAGTTAGCTTCTTTGATATTTGGTGGTCTCCTTGATGTAATGTCAGGGCCAAGAAGGAGTGGTTTCCTTGGAGGCTGCCACTCCCCCACTTTCCATTACAGTCACCACTATAAGCCATGCTTATATGCTGAGGGCTAAAGCTGCAACTGAGAAGTTAAGTCACTAGAGATCATAACCAGTAATATACACTCAATCCTAGAAAACAGTACGCCATATGCTGGTTTTGTTGCCCGGCTTACACGTGCATGCCAACACACACACACAGGAGGTGGTGGATTGATCTGTCCTTGTGTAACAAACCATATTTCCTTTTTACAGAAGCAGACACCTTTGCCAAATGCTTTAACATTCAGCTATTGTTTTATATTGTGTATGAACATGGAAGGGGAAGATTATGCTGCAAATCATGATTTAAAACTCTTGTTTTAAAAACTAAAATATAAATAAACCAAAATAACTCAATAAATGGCACTACTTTTATAAGAGACAACAGGGTAGATGATAAACCCTTTCTAATCTGTTTCAATTACCTGTACTTAGAGAATGCTCCTCAATATGGGTTAATATTATGTATTTTCATTCCACATGCTAAAAGCTGCCCCCCAATTACACTTAAAACAGCTGTAACTTAGTTCTGAAGTTCATAAAACGCTTCACTGACCACAGATCTCAGTTTCTGTTATTATTTTATGATCTTATGTTTATATCTCCCCTGGCTCTTTGAAACCCCAGTCCTTAAGGTGGTGTTATTGCTATTAGGCAGGGAGGTGAATAGGATGCAAAGGTAGAGCCCTCCTGACCATGGTCAGTGCCCTTACAGGTGGTTCTTGCTTCCTCTGTCTACCATGGAAGAAACAGAAGAGACAGGAATGATCAAGCTCAAGAAAATTAAAGGCAAGACTTCAGAAATGTTGCATAGAGGCCAACAGGGAAATAAACATTTTATATTGCTCTTTTTTGTTGCCATAGTATTTAGTCCATATTAACCAATATATTTACCGCTTAGTTTCTGCAGGGAAAATAAATATCCCTCTTGGTTAGCAAACAATTGAAAATAGAAAAGGTAAATTCTCAAGTTCACACTGGTCCATGGAGACCAGGAGGATTGTCTCCTAAGCCAGTGGGTTGCAATTTCTGCTTTTCTCTGGCTCACCAGGGAGGCTGTAGAAAGTCTTCAGTGTCCATTTCTGTCATTTATAGTTAAACTCACCATGGAGTAGCCAAAATGGAGTGGTATTTTTACGTCCCACTGCTTACCTCAGGTTATACTGTGAGCATCACAGTTGATCTCCTGTTTGACAGAACACAATTGCTAACATAACAAAGTTGTTTTTTTTCCCAAATGTTTCATCATTGACTAAGTAACAAAAGCCAGGTAGAGATCATGGAACTAGAATTCCCTTTGTTGAATGCTATAACAAAGGCATGGTAGGATCATGCAGAAAAAATTAATTTCAGTGTAGGGGTAAGTGGGCTATGAGGAAGAGAGACCAGCCTTTAGGGATTTGGGACATGACCTTGCAAATGAGACAAAGGTGCAAGCTTACCTGTGGAGGCTCCAATGGCTCCTATGCATATGGACGGTAGTGCCATCACCAGACACCCAAAAGCTGCCAGGAAGGACAGCACCTGAGCGTACGTGGCTGAGGACGAAGAGAGAACCCTCTGGAAGTAGGCTTGCCATGGGATTCCACCCAGCATCTGCAGGAGAGCCCAGCGACTCAGAGTAAGCCAAACGAAGGAGGAGGCAAATGAAAGGGTTCTTTTCTAGGAGCTTTGTAACACCACATCAATCAGATGCATTTAGAATGCTTTTGGTAGAGTGGTGAAGTATGGAACACACTCCACAGACCACAAATCCTAACTGCAGCAACTGTGTTTGCCGAGTCGTGAGGTTTTGACCCCTTCCACATTTGCCAGTTTAAATTCTGGTCTTCTGGGTAAAGAAATCGTATCACTATTGTGGTCTTGGTGAATTCACTGTACCATGAAAATGGAGTCAGCATGAATCTAGTTAGTGTCCTTTTTAATAAAACAAACAAAAGAGCAATAAAAAACTTAAGGGAGGTTGATTGCCTTTTCTACCAAGTAAGGATGAAGCAAGAACGTGCTATCTGTGAAAGACCAGCCCACACCAAACACAGTCTGCCAGTGCCTCAATCCTGGGCTTCATTGTCAGACATGAAAAACAAGTTCTGTTGGTTCTACGACATCTAAGTCATGCTAGCTTCTTGAAATACCCAGAGGATATCAGTCCTACCTGTAACTGTAGATTTTCATGTTATATATTTATGTATTTATGTATTTATGTATTTACTTTTGATTTTTTGAGACAAGGTTTCTCTGTGTAGCCCTGACTGTCCTGGAACTCACTCTGTAGACCAAGCTGACCTCGAACTCACAGAGATCCACCTGCCTCTGCCTCCTAAGTGCTAGAATTAAAGGCATGTGCCACTGCTGCCCAGATAATAGTGATTTATTTAAAAAAAGAAAACAAATATTGGATTCCCTGCATTATTTTCTTTTGAGACTACACTAGACAGTCTTTCCTATTCCTTAATTTATCTGCTTTGCTTCCTTAAAATTATCCAGAAGTCTTCAGTTTATATTGGGACAGAAACTCCAACCATCATAAAAAAAAAAGCCTTAGGGGAAGGTTGAAGTGGGGGAGGGGAGAGACAAGGAGGGGAGCAGAGAAAAATTTAGAGCTCAATAAAAATCAATAAAAATTTTTCTCCTTGAAGACACAGAATAAAAAACTATTGCCGACATTGAGCTGCAGTATAATTGTCTATAAGGCACCTGCAGGGAAACAAAACTAAGAAACAATTATTTGGGCTTGAGAGACAAGGAGATAAGTAGATGCCTATGTACCCATCAATAAAGTCTGCAGAGATGACATATAAGTTGGGCATATAGGAAGATGAGAGTCCCATGAAGAGATATGAATATGAAACACGTAAAAACACCATGATACTCAGGCACCATGGGACCACTGCATACATCACTATAATACCCAGACACTGTGGGAAAACTGCATATAAGGTATTAGTAGAGTTCAGGGTATAGAGTAATGGTCAGAGAGAAACTTGGGACATTATTGACTTTCCTTTGAAGTATTGATACTGCTCTTGCTGGCAGACAGGTAGAAAGTTAGTATTCAGTATGTAGTATCTGATGAGGGAATAGGTGAAGGAGCTTCCTATGACACCTTGTGCCTTTCCTTCAGAGATTTAACTCTAGCATGGCTGTCTTATTTCTCTTTACTTTGTCTTACTAAGCACAGTTCCTGATATACTAAATCCAAAGTAATTTTCTTTCCTGTAAATTTATACATATTCAGAAGTCAAAGCAGATAGTTAAAAATAAATTCCAAAATATATATTTTAATTTTTTTTTGTTTTGTTTTTTCGAGACAGGGTTTCTCTGTGGTTTTGGAGCCTGTCCTGGAACTAGCTCTTGTAGACCAGGCTGGTCTCGAACTCACAGAGATATATTTTAATTTTTAAAAATCTATATTCTTTTTAAATTTGTTTTTATGTATACAGTGTGCGGTCTGTATGTTCTGCCTGCACACCAGAAGAGGGCATCAGATCTCATTACGGATGGTCATGAGCTGCCATGTGGTTGTTGGAAACTGAACTCAGGACCTCTGGAAGGGCAGTCAATGCTCTTAACCTCTGAGTCATCTCTCCAGCCCAAATCTATAATCTTCCCAAAACAATTTTCTTTCTTTCTAAACCTATACATTAGTATGTCATTAGTATTCCATGTCCATGTTATATGAATTTATGTACTTTTAGAAACATTAGAACCATCCTGAACATCCATAGTGTATAAGTAAAGTAAAATCTACCTATGCTTTCTAAAAGACAAGTTTATATGCTGAAAACCTGACCCCAGTTAGATGGTATTTGGAACTAAATTGAGTTTTGGGGGGCATAATCAGATGATAAGAGTGAAGCTGTTCCAAAAGGGATTGGTGACCTTTGAATTATATACTTATTCTTTACAACATGGGAAGGCATAGTGAGAAGTTAGCAGCCTAGAACCTTAGAAGAATCCTTGACAGAACCTACCTATGTTGGCTGTCTGACTTCAGACTCTATTACTCGAGTACTGAAAAGTAAATTTCTATAAGTGGTACTTTGTTGTGGTAGCCCTTATTGCTGAATACAGAGTGCAATTTGGAAAATGAGTGTAGAAGAATAACAATAGGGAAAGAAGGTAAGAAGGCTTTAGGTCCAATGTAGAGCTAATTAGGGGTGGTGGGCTGACAAAGGCTTCCAGTGCCATTAGCAGAACTTAGGAATCATGTTAGCATAGAGATGTATGGAAAACAACCAGAAGGTCATAGACCATTTGTATTCCAATCCAAAGTTTACTTCTCTGGTCTCTCCTTCCACTCAACATATATTCGTTTTCTACTTGTCAAACAATTGAGATCATGAGTCTGACTAAAGAACTGGATATAATGTTTTATTTTATAGACGAGTCTCATGAGGAATTCAATGTTGTATGGGGGAAAGGACCATGAGATTGTGATGCTCTGCTTTAATTCCTAGCTCAGGCACATTTTGATAGACAACAAGTTGCTCGCTTCTGCTTTTCGTCATCTCCATGTAGTTATAAACACATTAGCAGGCAGATGTCATTTTACGTCTCACTCTTTATATTCAGATTCACAAAGTATTCCAGGAAAAAGAAAGGCAAGGGATTTCTTCTCAAGCCTTAGTAGAAAAGATTCTATTGGAAATATACTTTCCCCCACGTTTTCCTGCCTTTTACCAGGGAATTCTTTACCAGAAAAGACACACCCAACTTGAGTGTTGAAGAGTTGTTCATTTTCAGTAAAGTGCCATACACATAAACTCTAAACTATTATCAGTCATCTACAAAGGAAAAAATAACTGATTTTCTCTCCACTGTCTACAAGAAATTATCAGTTTCTCACCTTGAAATTCAATGCAATGTATTATTTTCATACATAATCTCTTTAGTTAGCAGATTCATAAAGTCTGGTAGAATTTACATGGTTCTTCCCTCTTCCTCGGCCTGCACTCTGCCATTGTTACCTCTATGTCCTTCTCTGACAGGGCTGTCATACCAGGGTTCTTTGTGTTTCAAGCTCCTTCTGTCTCTTGAGGACTTCTCCTTTGGAACCACTTCCTAGTGATGCTTCCCAACTTACCTCATGCACTGAGAGCCAAGGCATGTGGCTCCAGCCTTCCAAGACAGAAATCAATTCAGATAAGGCCATGCATCCGCAGGTGAAGCTTTGAATAGGCATGTAAAATCTTGAACATGTCTCTCATTTTATCAACAATTAGATCACATTTCTCAGATCACAGTGTCTCTTACCAACAACAGAAAATTGTCAAGCCAGGTGTAAACTTCAATCGGTTCGATGCTTCCCAGCCAGGGACTCTGGTATTTGGCATGCACAGCGGTGAATCCGATGTCGGTGACTGCAGGATGTGACAGGGCAAAGGGGACACTGATCCACTGGAACAAAGAGTGACAATGGAGCATTGGCTATGAGCTTAACTGTCCTGGACATGCACAAGTCATGTTCCTAGTTCATCTTTCTCAGTGCAGGCACAGCTTGAGAGTTGTTCTTTCTCAGACAGAGAAAGGCCTGAAATTATGTTTTCTATAGGATGCCATGGAACACGGATTTAGAAAGAAAATGAAAAAAACACATTGACTGCTCATGTGTTTGACTATATAGAATCGTATAAACCATAGAAGCAATCAGCTTATTTGTGAAAGAAAACATTCCATCTCACAGAACAAAAACGACCAACAAACATATTTCTGCATGCTTTGTTGCTGAACAGTAACATGTGGTAGGGCCTGTGGGTTATGAGCGTTTTCAGCTTATACTGATTTCACTCCACATAGCCTGCCCTAAGCTGGATAGTGTCTGTGTGCTTCTTCTTGTCTCATTTCCCCCTGACTTCCCCAGCTCTACCCTTCTTTGTCAGTGTACGGGCACACCCTTGAATCACCTCTTTCCTGATCATATTAATGAATGAATATCTTTGACCACTTCACAGAAAACAAAAGTATGTAGTAGTGTGAGTGTGTATTTGTGTGTGTTCAGATTTGCTGGGCAACAAGGTTTGCTGGTAGAGGAGCATCTTCTGAAAATAAGAGGCAAAGACTCAAGAAGAAAACCTTGAGCTTCAAGCTAAACAAATTTAAGTTTGTTTTGTAGGTAATTGGAAACTGGAGGACATTCTCTGAAGGTTGACAAATATTTCAGTTTAATATCATGGACACTAATGGTGAGTTTCAAAACACAGAAGCAAATGGGAGTGCCACAGGTAGGCTCTTATACCTCTGACAAAGGTCTTAAAGCTAGCAGTGACACTGGAAATTGAGAGGTGTTAATAAGACCGGGGAGGCTGAGTCAACAGCCCCTGGGTTAGAACACGAAACAGGAGCCAGAGCTAAAACTAAGCGAACCAAGTGTTCAGTTTCAGATCTCCAAGGATGGTTAAAAAACCCACAGAATTACATAGTCTGAGAAGGAATGGTTAAGGTATAAATTGATTATGTATGTATGTGTGTATGTGTGTATGTATGTATGAATAGGAATTAAAGTTGGGAAAATAAACTATATTTAGACAGCCAATTCTATAGTACTTTAAGAAACCCATAATTATGTAGTATTCCTTAGTGAATAATACACACACATGATCTAATTTAACTTAGGAATAAAAGACTAGTTAACATCCATAACTTATCCACTGAATTATACTTTATGGCCAAAAAATTTCCAATATATATCTCAACATAGGTTTGCCCTTCTCTTCCTATGCCAACACAATTGATTCATGAGTCTGTGTGTCTTAAGTTCTGGTATCATTCAAAGCAGTGACGCAGGATATACATCATTGGTAGATAGATTCATTCCCCTGGGGTTGGGCTTCTTGGGATAACAAACCCATCAATTATGAGAGCTTCCATCACCACCCTGACCTCACCTCTGACACTCCCTGAGAAGTGCCTGTGTGTTCTCAGCTTCCTTTGTGGATGGCTATCATGACGCTGAGTAAGAAGTAGAATTGTGGACATACATCCACTTAAAAAAAAAAAACAGGAATTCCTGAGAAAGTGAAATATTCTCAGTTTAATTTTAAAATGTGTGAATGACATCTTACAACACAAACAATGTCTAAAAGAAGGAGGGGGAATGCAGTTTTTGTGACTATATAGGAATTAATATTTACAGTGTAAGTCAGATGACAGTCAGTGGATTCCTCTGGGACATTTTTACTGATGATGCAAAGTCACATTAAAAAGTTATGGGAGTCATTTTTCATCTCCAAACATGGAAGGTAAAAGCTAAAATAGTCAGTGGAGATTTTTACTATAAGAAAAACAATTAAGAGAAAAGAAAAGAAAATCAAGGATCTTTTGATCCTGATTGGGAAAATAAATACACATGCTTTCTCTGCGGCTCTGCACAAGGACAGTGGGCATGATGCTTGCATCTAATGAGACTGTGCACATGGACCCATGTCAGCCCTTGACCCAGAATGGACACACATTTCTAGTTACATGCCTTTTATATGAATTAGGTCTTGTATAGTGTCATAAATGGAATTGTTGCTTTGCATTTTAAGACTTAAAGATATCAAGCTAAAAAAGCAGACAAAGATAACCTTAGTAAGCCCAGAAGTACTTTCACTGCCGTCCTAATACTAGTCATTCTTCACAGTGATAGGATTCCTACTTAATAAGACATGCGTGTGATCTAATTTACAGAGGAATACAAAAATAGTAAATCTTGCTAATACTGTATGTAAGTAAACCTTTCATTTTTAGATGCCTGCCATGGCGTCTATGGCCTGTCAGTCTCCCTGTAGTAAATAACAGAAGACAAGAAGAAGTATTTTGCCCATATTAGCAATGAATTAATTTTGCTCATGAGATGAAAGTGTTGCCACTGAATGCTAAAGAGGCTCACAAGTACGCCTGATCCAAACTAACAGGGGTGGAGAGCAGAACCCAGGGATTTGTAGGTGTTAGGGCATACCTTTGTCAAATGCTGACAAAAATAACCAGGGGTTTGATCTGACAAGTTCATAGAAAAAAAAATAGTATTTCAGATAGCATTAAATATACTGTATATTTTTCATGATAGAAAAATCATATATTCACTGATTTTTTTGAGTCATGTTAAATATTATATTTTAGAAGGAAATGAGGCAGGCAAGCAGAAAGGGAAGGAGAGAGGAAGGGAGGAAGAAAGAAGGAGATAAAATATGAGGGCAGGGTCACTTACCAGTCCGATAAAAATACAGAACAGTTGAACAACATCAGTATATGCCACAGAGTAGAGCCCGCCCACTAGGGTGTAAAGGATGGCAATGAGGGCAGAGACAATGACCGATGCATTCACATCCACATCAATGATCACGCTGATGGTGGCCCCTAGAAGAAAATGACCAGGCAGCTTAGTGGTCAGGGAACACCGGTGACTCTGCTTCTAAAGTGAAGTCACAGTAGGTATATCCCAGGGGCTTGTAAGGTGTACAGGATGACAGTAAGGGGAAAGAACTGCTGTGTTAATATTAGGCTTAATAAACTATGCATCTCCTTACATATAGCAGGATATACTTGAAGTTGGTGTTTTGCTAGACAGTCTATGCAAGACCTATCTGAAACACATGGCAACAGAACAACTAGAGATATAGATAAGCATAACTCCATTCTCAGAACTTGTAATGCTTTGACTATATAAAATTCTGACAATTAAACATGCATAGTAGCCTTTCTTACATCCACAAAAAGTCTTTCTGAGAGGCATGAGCACTCATTTCCATAATTTGCGATGAATATTTATTTCCATTTTGCTGTCTGCTAGCCCAGAATAATGCACAAACCTTACAAGATACCAAAGAACTGAGTCAAACTTACAGGGGAAAATAATAAAATTGGTAAATGTAATTATCACTTTCTTTTTTTTTTCAAAGTCTCCATAGATCTCATTAAATTGTAAGAATGTGGCTTCTACCCATAACATACTGAAGAATCTTGGCTTTGAGAAATCATAGTTTAGAGACTGGAGAAATGGATCAGTGGTTAAAAGCACGTATTTTTCTCACAGAGGACCCTGATTCAGTTCACCCAAATGGTGGCTCACAACCATCCACATCTCCAGGTCCACGAGATCTGACAATCTCTTCTGATCTCCATCAGCACCAGGCACACAGTGCATATACATCCATGTAGGCAAAATATCCAAACACACAAAATAAACAAATCTAAAAGAAAAAAGAGGAAGTGATCATTTGAGTTTTGAGTAGCTTTCATCTTCAATATTTGTTTTTGTTTTCTTGCCTTACGGCATTGCTTTTGTTGCCTGTCTTCCCACTGAGAATTTTGTGAATGGGCAATTTGGAACACTGCTCCCTCTTCCTACTCCTCAATAGGCATGCTCATAGTGTATACCACCTACCAGGGAGAAACATCCATTATTTAAAGGGCAACTCAGGCTGTTCTAAAACAAAACTACAATACGTTTTTAGCTTTGAGTACATTACGATTTCCTTGAATAAAAAGAGCAATATAATAAAGAGCTATGGTCCAAACATTCAAGAGGTCAATTATTTATCAGGGTTTTAAATAAATGATAGAATTAATGTATGCAGAGGGTATTTTTTCTTTTTCAAAAGTTTGTTTTTTCATGTTGGAATTTTAGTTACAAATCTCTGTCATCCTTTTCATGGTGTTTTCTGCTTTCATAAAATTTACAGTTTAATTATAGGCAAAGTTCACAGCAATAGTCTTTGGAAATACTATTCTGGTTGAAACTCAGGACTTTGGAGAGGTCATCTGCCTTTCTGTCACAATATACTTGGGTTGAATTTTTTCTGAAAATACTTTCCATTATGATTATGTCGATTGTAGTGAGGAAAAGCTGCATCTCCTGACCTGCTGGTGTAAAGTTATAAAACAAGTCATTGAATTTAGCTACTATAAATATAAGCTCACATTTAATTCATGCAGCCTAAGGTGTCATCAACAGTTTGATTTGTTCCAAACTGAAAATAATAATCAGACATAGCCTGGCAACAACAGGCTGGCATTAACTGGTATTGACTGGTATTGGCTGATATCACGGTTCAGTAAGATTCAACAACTTCATGTCAAGTGTGAGGACACAGTAAGCAAGGAAAAAGATGTAGTAGAAGCCACAGGTCCCATAGGACTTTGGGGATGTCAGTGTTAGCCATTCACTGACTGCTGGACTGCACCATGAGACAGCATGTTTTATTTAATACAGTGCACAAAACATGAGAAGGATAAATGCTCGAGTCATGTCTGCAAGAGGTTATTCCAGAAAAAAAAGTGAGAATGGACCAGACAAAGAAGAGATGGTGTGGATGAAATCTATAAATACAACTGTCTTCCAGGGGCTCTGTGAAGCTGCTCCCACCTGGAACGTACACGGAGAACAATCTCTTCTGTAGTTGTATTACCTTAAATAAATGTCTGTTGTAATTACAGAGAAAAGAGTCTCCTATGTTTTTATTCCCCATGCTCATTCGTACTAGTGGACAATGAACACAAATAGAGTTTATACTTGATCTTAAGTGTCCCAAGATTATTTCTTACAAGCACTACTTTTGAAATATATCCAGCAATTATAATCAAAGAATAAAGACAATAACTTTATAATAGGCATGAGCTTCTAAAGCATAGTTTTCTTCCAAGAGCAACAATGTGTGTGTAGATATTTGTTGCTTGTATTGTATGTGTGCACGTGTTACTTTGCATGTGTGTTTATACTGAGAGACTGTTCACACTTTTTCTATATACAAGAAAGATATATGTGGACATAGGCAAATATTAGCAGAAGTAATTCTATTGCAGTACAGAGTTTATCTACTGTATTTTGTATTTGTAAAATGCCATAGAAACTTCAGCTCATTAGTTCTATTTGCCTTTCAGAACTATTTTTTGGGAGGTTTATTCAGTCAGAGTGAGCATTTTGTATTTTGTTGTCTAGCCCACTCCTTTCTGCCATACCTCGGCAGGTAGTCTGTTCTTAAACCCGAAATTCCCAATGCCAAAACATGTGGCAAACAAACTCCCCTTGTTTCTCCACTAGTAAGACTGAGTTTGGGGGAGACTGTTCTTTTTTAACATTGTGTCATTAGGTTCTAAGTTGAAGACCTGCTGTCTAGCACAGGGGTGTGGCATTTTCCACTGAGTGACTGGTGTCTTTTATGAACTTGCAAATTGTCTTCCTTTCCTCACTTCTTTCCTTCCATAGTTAGCAACCAAAACCATGACCTTAGATTATAGAGGAATTTATGAGGCTAAGGAGACAAAGTTGGTGTGAACTGATCTCAGATGGTACAGAGGCTACCTAAGATAATATTGGAACCAGGGGACAAGCTGGTCTGGCATATATAAAATGGGAGGAAACTCCTTTTGTTCTAACCACCTAGCACCTGGCTGTGGACTTTAGCCTTGCTCTTTCATTTGGAGAAGAGGTAGGGAATGCTGTGTAGGAGGGGGCCTGGATGTGGCCTGCTGACCCCATTGAAGAGGGCTGTAGGAGGCCAGCTCTGCAGCTGTTCCCCAGCTCCACATGCAGTGGGCTGGGACAGGCCTGCCTTTGATCTAAAGGAAGCACACTGAGACTGGAGATCTTCCACAGTCCCACTGAAAACACTGGAGATGAGTCCAAAGACACCCTGGCAACCAGATTTGTAAAGTACCAGAAGCAAGATGGTAAAGTCACAGTTCTGGAGGAGACATGACACAGGGGCATGAGGAGAGGAGAAAAGCAAAGATTCTGTCATGACTACAGATTCTGTGGAAGTTTTGGCTTTTAGAAGAAAAGAGGATGACGGAGCTTGAATTTACAAGGAGTTAGCTACCAGAGAAGGGCAGACCTGCAAGCAGGGAGAGCCCTGCACGGATTCCAGTGAGGAAAGTCTGGCTGAGGAAAGCAAGAGGGAGAGGTACAGAGGTAAGGAGGATGATCAAGACTCAGGAGGACTGGACAGTGAAGAGAGGTCCGAGAGCTGATGAGACTGACAGAATGAAGGTGGCCGGATGCAAAGGATGCGGCACATAGCTTCTCCAGGCTCTGCATCTCCAGTTGCCTCAGCAGCCTTACTGAGGCTTTTCATGTTTCAGCAACTGGTCATGGCTGTTTTTACCTCAAAATCTGCACCTCAAGAGTAGATATGGGTGAAGAGAAGCTGGGGATTGAACACTTTCCATGACTTAACCAAAACCCACCTAAACTTGAGAGAGAATCCTTGCTGTGTACCGTCATCCTCAGTGTTACCTAACTAGCCATAGCCTCACGCTTTCACAAAACCTTATATTGGCATGTCAAGTTAGATGGTTTTGCCGAAAGCCTGCCTGTTCTGCCCACAGGCTGCAAGATCCCATTTCTCTGCAAATGTTATTTACGGTTGGAACTCATACGTTGTTTTATATTAGCTTTTAATAGGGCATATCTTACATAACAAGATTACTGCTTTGAAAAATCTTTATAAAATTTAGGTTTGCCTGTGTTTGTCAATCTTAGCATAGCAATCGTCAGAAGAGAAAACGGGAAGAGATAATTTCACAGAAGTGAAAACAGTTACTGGGGATGAATAAAGGCAAAAATAATTTGTTTAGATTTATTTCCCTTAATTGTCCTCCTGGACAATTTTTTTAAAAAAATTCTCATCCAAATTGTATCATTTAGTTGTGCTTAATTAACTTCATTAAGTTATGCTCAATTCAAGAAAGTCAGGACCATGAGGGGTTGGTTCACTCACTAAGACAGTGTGCCTGATCTAATGGGAGCTCACCAAATCCAGCTAGACTGTGACTGAAGGAGCATGGGACCAAACTGGACCCTCTGAATATGGCTGACAATTGGGGCAGACTGAGAAACTAATGATAATGGCACTGGGATTTGTCTCTACTGCACTGCATGTACTGTTTTTTTTGGATCTTATTCTATTTGGATGCATACCTTCCTAAGCTTGGATGGAAGGGGGAGGGCCTTGAACTTCCCACAGGGCAGGACACCTTGCCCTCTCTCAGGGAGGGGGAGGGTGTGTGAAGGAGAGGGAGGAAAGTGGGAGGAGGGGAGGAAGTGGAAATTTTGATTGGTATTATTTATAAAGTAATAAAAAACGTTGTGCTCAATTGTGTTTTAAATCATAAATATCTTACAAGAGCAACTCATGAACTTTGTAACTCATGGTCACACTGTAATGTTGTGATTCAGGTTCAAAATAAATGAAGCTGAGTCCAGGTTTCACCTCTACAGCCATACCTTTCTAAGCATAGAGATTTGATAGGAATAAATATGGATCTCGACACGGTTTTAAAGTTTTTTTTTTTTAAAGAGTCCAAACCCTAAGTTCAGGAGTTGGAGACTCAGTAGAACCATCGTCTTTAGTCCTTACCTAATGCAGAGAAAATTGCTGCAGCCCAGAACATCTCTCCCATCAGTGCAGGAATGAACAGCAGCCCGCCCATACGCTTTCCATAGATCTGCTGAAATGGGTCTAGCATGGTCACATATCCCTTGGAACGCATAGGTTTTGCAAAGAACAGACCACCTAGAACAAAGCAAACAAGTGCTTGTGAGAACAGAGTCGTGATAGATACCTCTTTACTATGTATCTTTCTCCCCCTAAGAAAATGAATTTTTAAGATATTTATATGTACTAAGAATCCCAATTTACATGTCCTATGAAGATGGTACTAAGAAATATTTAGCAACCGAATGTAAATTCTGTAGTACATCTAACAGTGCTATGTCCAGTGAGTAAACAGGGCATGTGAAATGGAAGACATGGACCAGGTCGGTGTGCATTAGAAGACTTCAATGCATTTCTGTCACCCAATCCAACATTTAGACACTTTGAGTAAGCAAAACTCCAATAAAAGCAGTTTTTGTGTATAGCAAAATGAGGAACTCTCATATAATATTGAAACGTTTTAATAGTTTCACTTACCCAAAGGAACAAAGGGACAATGGAGCTGATTAGGTTTTAATGATATAGCCATACTACTTTTTGAAGGAAATAAATCACAGTTGTTTAAGAATTCACTGTTCTAGTGGCCACAGGTTCAAAGAGGTTTTTTAACACAGTGCATAACCAGGAGATTAATAATCTAAGCAGTGGTGTTCTGCTACATAACAATTTCTGGTAATTGCTACTTAGAAATTTTCCCCACAATAGTTGCTCATGCCATTTGACTTATTATTTATACTTCATTCTGAGAACTGTGTGAGTCACTGGGATCTCAACACCCACTTACCTAGGATCAGACTCAGAGAATACCCTATGGGTGCCTGAGCCCATGCAAGACCACAGCCTGGGCCATAAACTGCTTCAGCTGTCCCGTTGATGTAACCTCCTCCAACCCAGGTGGCTGAAATAGAACCAACAGTTGGGTTACACACTCTCTTCACCTGCTGTGCCCTGGGTCGAACCACTCAACACAGTGGCCACGGGATTCAGGTGACCGTATAAGCTCTGCAATGCAGTATTCTGACAGGTAGCTCTTTTTTTCAGATATATAAAAGTTCTGTAGCACAATTACTAGAAGAGAGGAGTTAAATAACCAAAGAAAGCTGGCTTGGGCTAAGGAAACTCGAGCCAGTTTTCCTCATAACAAATTTGATTCTTTATTTTTTTTCAAACTAATATTTTTTTAATTCTTTGAGAATTTAATATGATGAATTTTTATCATATTCAGCCATAATACTGTCCCCTAATATTTCCCAGACCCATACTTTATTCTTACTGGAAAAATCAAAGTCAACAGGACTCTAAAATTTTGTAGTTTATGTACTTCTACGAGTATAAGAGAAAGATTCAAAGTGATCCCTGTGCACAATGTATGTGGAATGATGAAGATCTCAGGCTCTTAATACTCTTATCAGACAGGAGACTGACCATCCCATAAAGAATGCAATTTAGAAGAATATATCTCTATGTATAGAAATCCTGTCCATACCACTAAGATGTGATTGTTTTCTTGCCAGAATTCATCCCCCTTTAAGTACAACAGGCAAAAAAGAGTGTATTGGGACTAAGGCTGTGTGTGTGTGTGTGTGTGTGTGTGTGTGTGTGTGTGTGTGTAAAACAGGAATTAAAGAAAAAAGAGGCCTTGAATTTCAAAGAGAGCCTGGAGGGGGACATGGGAATGTTTACAGTGAGGAAAGTGAAGGGAAAAATGATGTAATTGTACGATTTCATCACAATCTCAAAAATAAAAGAAAAAATCAACATAAGAAGACTTTCCTGATTAAGAAATTTTAGGCACATTTAATGGGAAATTTAGGTGCTGAATCCTGAAGTGGGCAGGAAATGTGGAGTAGCCACTCCCATCTTCACACAAGCTTTTACACCTGGTGTGCAGACATTAAACACTACCGTTCATTGATTTTCTCATGCTAAATCCCATTGAAAATTTAAAGTTTTTCTTCTCTACCCAGCACCCTGAGTACTTAATGAGGATCGGACGAAATCTATGCTTAACTGCTTCAAAACCTGTGACTTCATCCTTGAGCTAAGATGGCTGAAACCAATAACATGCCAGCAATATCTGGCGCAGAATGAAAATGGCTCCCTGGTCTTACAGCACACATTGCTTTTGACTGCATGGCTTTGCAGTTCCTCGTCCAAAAATCAAATCTGTGCCTGGGTGGTTGCATTTATTATGATACAGAACTGAAAACTTTGTCATTTACTATGATTAAAAGCAGCCTTTCTATTTGTTACTGATTTAGTCTTTTCTGGGCCACAATTCATTCCCCACATTTACATATGTTTGTATCAAATAATGAGCAAGAACACGAATTCTTTTAAAGTATATGTTTTAAAAGAATCTACATTTCATTCTCTATTTTTTATGAAATGCATGGAAGCAGTCTGAATCTAGTGAGGCTTAAATAATATGGTTCAGATTTTAAATGAATGATCATATAGACAAGGGTCTTCTGAGCTTGGAGAAAAGACTGTTACCACGTCAGCTAGACTATGATAATACTTTATAAGAAACAGTCTCATTTGACTATTTTTTATATACTTTAATGGTGTACTATGTTTTAAAAAATCTGCATGTGATGAAAGAATGTATTCAACAACAATGCATGACTATATGAAATAGATTATTATAGAGTAGCAGAATATTATAATAATCAGCAAAGAATAAAATGATTGGACATTTAGCAGCTCATTTTTTCTTGTGACTTTTGGGAAACAATATGTTCTTTAAAGAGACGTAGTGTATCAGTGAGAGAGCTGCACACAGCACAGCATGGAGGATCCTGAGTGTGGTCAACTAGACTTGGCCCTGATCTTTGCTAACTAATCTAGTTTGCAGAGTCCCTTGATTCTGCAACCTTTTCACAGTGCCTGCTGGAAAGAGCACATGAATCCATCTAAACTATATAAGTGAAAGTCTGAATTCACAATGGAAATACTTGGCAAATAAGAATCTACAGTCCATACAGAATACTGTAGATTTCAGACAACCAACATGAAGGCTTTCAGAACACAGAGACCATCTTCACAGCACAGATAGGTTCCTAGCTGACACACAGTATGAATTGTTTGTCAATAGCACTTCTGTACAGAAATGGGTATTTCATTTGGATACAGTTTTTAGTAAGATATTTTTCTAATGAGGTGTCAAGAGTTCCAGCTAGAGTAGATTATATTGCAGGTGTTAAATATTCACTAAACAAGGCCCAGATATAAATGTTGCCAATCATTTACGAGTTTATATTGTTTTCACAATTATGTTTAGTGACCATGACAAATATGAAGAAATGACTCTGAGATCAAAGGAAGAAAGATCAAGGGCCTCTCCTAACACAAAGAAAATTGCAAAGGAAGAGAAATGCAGATGCTGGCCAGGGGATTCCTTTGAGGACACACCCTGATTTTTTCCTTTTTATAGTAAGGATCCTGGAAACCTTTCTTTTCGCATTGTAAATAGTTTCCTTTCAGGAAAATGGTTATTACACGAGAAGGTAGGCTTCTAACAGACACTAGTTAGACTAGAATTGTAGTGTCTACAAAATGGCTTGTTAGAGCTAAACTATCACAACTAGTTAATGTTCATTTATCATTTAAGAGAACTCAATCACAACCCCATGCTTGTATTAGTGGGTACGCGGAGACACCATGGTATTAAATCACAGATTCACAACTTGAAAGACCATGGCTTCGCTTTCCTGTACCCCTTTGTTTTCACCGCTGCCATCCACCAACCAAGCAAGAAAGACTGCATTTGCTTCACTAACACTTTATCCAGTGATTTATTGTAAATTTATCTTTATCAAGTATTATTGAGATTAAACTTTTTTCTTTCAAATTAAGTATGAAATGACTTGGGCTAAAAGAACTCCAAAGGACAAGCAGCACTGTCTGTCTTTTCCCTCAGAGCACAAGCCAGCATGAGAAGGAAGCACGGCAGCACCTACCTGTCATGGTAAAGCCACCGACCAACAAACCAATATCTCGACCCCCGACTATGATGGCTTCGCTCCGCTCTTCTGCGTTGCCGCTGTTCTTGGTTTTCCATGCAGCCCATATTCCAACCAGAAATATAATGAGGTAGAACAGGATGATAGCTACCAGTCCTTCTACATGAAAAGCCATTTTTTATTTAAGGCAAGGAGCAGATTCTTCCACAGTGGGCTACTTCATCAAGCCTTCTGCAGAAAATACAGCAATGCATTATTAAGCAGCCAAGCACTGTGCCTACCCAGGCTGCCAAGAATAAGCAGCTGGCTCCAGCCATCCCTTAAAAAAAAAAAAAAAAAAGCTTGTATTGAAATTCCCATGAGACTAGTCTTAGCCAACAAGTGTCCAGTAGTCTGATCTGCTTCTACTTATCAAGTTAATGTTTGGAATTTTGAAGAAGCAGGAAAAAAGGGTGAACACAAATCAATTATAATATTTTTATTTTCATAAATTCTTTCAACTTAAAATCAAGTCTCATTTGTATTTTATCTCTGGTCTTCTGTCAACAGATTGCTTGCAATGATTATGCCTGTATTTGTCCTTTGAAACGAAATAGATATTTTATAACTGTTTATTAATTTAAGTGTGTCCTAAAGAAATACTCCAAGAACATTCACTTTGTGACTTTGTGTGTGTGTGTGTGTGTGTGTGTTCATTATTCATCCTCTACTTATCTTTTCAGAGGACTTCAGGAAGCAGGTCCAAAAGTGACCCAACATGCTGGTGTGTGTGTTGAGGGAGGACTAGAAAAATCCATTTAAAATGCATCGTTTGTGTTTTAATTTACTATAATAACTAAGTATGCTTTCGTTGTTTAAATGATGACCCTCTACCATCTCAATCTTCCTTTGTCCTTAGTTTATAGCATGCCCCCACCTGTCCTCCCGCCGCCCCTTCCTGGTCTCTATGAGAAAAGGATTTTAAATAAAGTAATGAATAAATCACAGTCACGAAAACGAAGAGCGAAACGGAGAGGACCGCTGTCAAGTTCTGAATTAAAGCTTCATCTTAAGAAATTTTTGTTCTTTCATTCCGCGCACTACCTCGGTTATTTCCTACGCCCAGTTCACAAGCTTAAGTTTCTGATGGGAGTCTGCACTTTACAAGTGGGTGGTGAGGCGCTGGGTGCAAGCACTCACCTCCGGGATGCCAGCGAGCTCCGGAGCGCCTGGGATTCGGTGGGCTCCGCCTTTGTGATCGCTAAGTCACCAAACTCCCCCTCCACCGGAGCTCCCTGGTGCTCAGCTCCCCGGGACCCCGCGCCCGCCCAGGGTTTCCAGAACCAAGTATCTGCAGCCGCTAGCACCCGGAGAGCCACAAGTGCCTTTCAGCTGAGCGGAGGCTGCCTCTCCACCAGAGTTCCTTTCTCCTCTCAGTCCCCGAGGGCGCGGCCGCAGCTAGCTCTCCCGGCTCTTACCTGGGCGTCACCCTGGAGCTGTTCTGGGGTCCGGGCGTCCCCTGATCTCTCGAGCAGCGAGGGAGGGAGGAGCGGGGTGAGTGGGAGGGGGATAGGTGGGGAGCTCGATGAGGGCTGCGAGGGTCAAGGTGATCAATCTGGGTATTGGGAAAAGTATCTTTATAAGGGAGGCGGACGGGGGCAATCGTCAGAGCTCTGGAGACGGACGTCAGAGCAAAGTGGTGCTGGGCGGGAGCTGCGCACTGTGCCCTTAGCGTGGCGCCGGTGCAAGGGAGAAGCCTGGCTCACAGCCAGCACTTGCCCAACTCCCTGTTCCTATCCCAAGTCAAGTCATGGGCTCCCCTAGAATGGAGGGTTCCAGACCCTAAAGTCATTCCCAAGTCTAACTACCCCCTCTTCTTATCTCCCTGAGGTGCCAAAGATAGGGATGGACTCAGAGGATTTTACCTGGAGATAGAGGAGGCTTCCCAGACTGGCTTTAGGGTGTCTCCATGAAAGCTCTGATCTGGGCAGTGTACCCCTGTCACTAGTGGGCCTCAGTGGAGTGATTTCAAGCCCTTGTTGATGGGCTTCATGTAGAAGACATTTTCAGAAGGTTTAGACCAGTCAGCTCTTTCCTTTTTGGTTTATAGTCATACTCCCTTTACTTAAAAATGGGGTTACAATGGAAGTCTCTTATAATTGCAAAGTTGTTAAAAAACAAAGTTGGTGTGTAGACACTGGAAACATGGTTCCTTGCCAAGCAAGCCAGTTGCTTGTTTGTTTAAATATTCTGTTCTAGCTTTACAAAAAAAAAAAAAAAAAAAGCATTCAGCCTAACACTTCAAATGCATTTATAGCTTTACTACATACCTATGCATCTGGTATTTTGTGACTGATTGCTTATATGTCTCTTGTACCTCTCTGTAGATGGCTTTATCCTGTAATGTCTGTACATACTGTAGACAGAGATATCTGGACATCGTTTTAAATGTATGTGTGTTGCAGGAGGGGAGTTACAGAGAGGGTATGAGAAAAAGAACAAAAGATTGAAAGCCGCCAAGTCTCAGCCCTGGGGCCACGTTCTCACTTCTCTCTCCATTTCAGCAAGCCAGTCTATTAAACTCTGAACGAGTACACATGAGAGCTAATAGGGTGAACTCAAGCTGCTGCCCACCTCTCTGGGCCACAGTGCAGATCAGCCCCTGTGCTAGAGAGGATTTAGAGAGGGTCTTTCAAAAGTACATGCCCCCTTCCTTTGTTCTTTGTGTAAACACTAAATACCCCCAGCTGCCTTACATGGATGAGAAAAGCTCACTGACATCCAGAGCATAGTGAGGGCAGGGCAGAGGGGACTGTTGTCACAACTAAGGTCTGTGGTCAGTTAACCGTGTTTCTGGGACAGACCTCCTTTGAGCTCAGAAAAGATGTTTTAAAGCATTTTAAAGGAACTGACAGAAGACAAGCATGAAATTCCATATAATCACTCAATGTTCTCAGTGGGATCCATTCATTCATTTGTTGTTTTATTTCTGGTTCTGGACTTAGGCCACAGATTAAACCCCAATTTTCCTTCTGGAATGTTCTTTAAGGTGATGACACACATAGTTCAGTTGCTGCAGGACAGGCGGCAGGAATTCAGTGTCTGAAACAGTGTGCCAGTTTGTGGGGTATAAGGTCAGGGAGTGTGACTCAGGCCCAGGGAGACAGGAAAAGTGGCTGTCCTCAGAGAACATCACCAGGCCTTAGGAATAAGAATCCGGAGTGCAGCCAGGGCTCACTCCCTAGGGGAGGTGAGGCTAGGGGACCTAATTAACTCTGAGAAGCAAGGCATGCCAAAATATAGACTAACAGCCAGATTTCAGTAGTGAGGGCGACCTTGAAAACAGGGGGCTGGAGAAGCCTGACGGATAGAAACTGTCCTTCATGACTAAGTTGGAAATGACAACGCCTGATGTATTGAGTCTAGCTCTGGGCAGACATGTCCTCATCTGCCCAGTCATGTGAGCACCATTGTCTGACCGGAGAATGACGTTGTACATGCACTTCCGGTGCAGCATCTTCTTCAGGACATCCGTTTGTCTTTTATTTTCACTATATACCTCTTCTCTACTTTCCTGAGAGCATGTTGCTCATACCTGAATCAAGGGAAACACATGCCAGTGGGAGATCAGTTCCAGATTTAGGAACTGGAAAGCAGGTTTGCATTACAAATCATTTATTTAGTTATCACACATTTCCTATGTTCCCTTTTGTTCCAAACAGTGTTCTAAGAACTGAGGATACATGGAGAAAATGATATATAGCACCCTGCCGCAAACAACAACTTATCCTTAAGAGGAAAATAAAAGGAATCCAGATAAAAGCCTCTTAATTTCAGTGCTGGGGAGGACACAGCATTTCTCTCCACACGCAGTTTTTAAGCGCAGCACAGATATGTCTTCATGACTGACACATTGTTCTCAGAGGAGGGGCCGCTTCGTTCACTCACCAGAGCCTGCTTTGTGCTAGATTGTGAGAGGTGCTGGATCCTTGTCCTCAGTCAGTTTCAAGTAGCTAACCTTGGCACACACAGCATCATTCAAGGATAGGAGGCATTAGAAGCACTTATATTAAAAAATTGATTTCTTTTCTTCTTTATTTTTTTTGAGAATCAAAGGCTATGCCTTGAAGTGCACATTTGAACATGATGAAAATATTAATCCAGATGCATTAGTGAGGTTCAGTGTGGCCCTTTCCCACAAGTCCGTAACTTCCTGGGCTTCCCATACACCTTTAGCTTGACCCTCTTGCAAGTTTTAATTTACTACCTTTTCAATTGTAATTGGTCAATCATTTTAAACCACAGTGAATATTGCAATCACAGGATGCTTTAGAAATTGTACAAGAGTAATTATTCAGATTCTGGAAGTCCTAGACAAAGGTTTGGGAGTATGTTTTCTTGTGAACCTTCCCCAGCATGGTGTTCTGGTTGAGAATGGCCCCCATAGACCCATACACTTGAATGCTTGGTCCCCAGTTGGCATAGGAAGGATTAGGAGGTATGACTGTGTTGGAGGAGGTGTTCCATTGGAAGTGAGCGTTGAGGTTTCAGAAGCCCACCGCTGGCCCAGTCTTGTTCTTTCTCTACCTGTAACTTGTGAATCTGATGTGAGTCTCAGCTACTGCCTCAGTACGGGTTCAACTCAATACTTTTTAACTTTTACAATGGCATGAAAAGCATTCATATTTAGCAGAGATTTGAATTCCCAACTTGGATATTTCCATGGGTTACTGATATGCCACAGACACTCCTTCCTGATGGCCATCAGGACACCAAGGCTTCCACCGGTACAGGAGCAAATAACCAGCACTCCATGCTTACTGTATTCACTAAATCATGAGGGTATTCAACCCCCCCCCCCCGATAAAATGGACTTTCTGTTAGATGACTTTGCTCAACTAGATTTCGAGTATGTTATTTTAAGCTACAATGCGCAATGGGTTAAGTGCTTGAAATTTCAAATTTATGATATTTTCAACTTCCAGTGGGTTTACTGGGATGGAAGTCCAAGGTAAGTCATAGGTTATCTGCCCAATATTTAAAAGCACTTAATGTAATGAATATTTTCCTTTTGGTGCTCAATAACAGCTAGTAAGCAGAAGACATTTTGGCAGCCTGTTAGTGTTCATAGATTTGTCGTTTAAATTACCGATGCCCTAGCCTTGGATGACAACTTATATTGCATACATGGTCGACAAATTCAGCCTTTGCCTTCTTAATGGTTATATATATATATATATATATATATATATATATATATATATTATATGCATGTAAACATATATGTATATATTACATATATGTGTGTGTATATGTATGTATAAACCTCAAAGTGTTTTATGGTCCTCTTAACCAATTGCCTACCAGATCCATTTTGTGTCTAGGAGTGGGATTTGAGATTTCTAAAGCCCATGCCAGGGCCCTTTCTTTCTTTCTTTCTTTCTTTCTTTCTTTCTTTCTCTACCCGCCGCCTGAGGATCATGATGTACAGTTCTCAGCAATTTATCTAGTGCCATGATGATGACGGATTAAACCTCTGAAATTGTTAGCAAATCCCCAGTTAAATGCTTTTTTTTTTTCATGGTGTCTCTTCCCAGCCATAGAATAGTAGCTAAGACACAGTCTTTGCCAAAAATTTCATCTCCAATTAAGTGAACCACTTCCTTTGCCACTAATTCTCCTCTTTGCTTCAGACTCATTCCAGATATCGATAAGAGCCTTTTGTGGGCTTCATCAATGTCAAGCTGGGTTACCCTTCATGGTACTTCTGTTATGAAGCAACATGTCTCCATTACTTTATGAACATGAAAACAGGGGGGTTGTTGTGTTTCATTCTTTATATATTAGGCTCTTAGTACAGCACCTGGAATGAAATAGTGAAAACTAACAGAATCAAATTATTTCATTTCCACAGACGCAAAAATGTTAGACCTAGTATTTGGGAAAAACTAGAAAATTATTTAATTGAAGCTAAATGAGAAAATGATGTTTGGAAAAGGCAAAATTAGCCATTAGAATAGTTTTGTGATTACATACCATTGAGAACATCATTGTGAATTCAAGTGAAAAATGTCTTTATTTCATTATTTTAAAGGCTTGAATTGTGTTTTGCCTAATAGCAAATGTGCATTTGTGCATATGTGTCTATGTGTGAATACACATATATATATACACCTCGTGTGTGTGTGTGTGTGTGTGTGTGTGTGTGTGTGTGTGCCGGGTATTAATGCTGGGTATCATCCTCAGTCATTCTCCATCATTTGTTTTAGACAGGATCACTTACTAAACCTGGAACTTAC